AATTCAGGTCGTTCGGCGCTTCAGTTGAATTTCGTTTCTCCGAAGCACCATAAGGATGTATAACCGAGCAAACGACTAGCTTGATGGAGGAGCATGTTCGTTTGCTTCGGAAATTGGAATTCCGCCAAAGGTACCAAGAAAGGAGTTAATTGATGGGAAAAACATTGATTGATCAACTAAATTAAGTTATTTACAGATCAAAGGAGAAGTGATCAATAAAGGAAAAATGAGGGAGCAGTGAATATATATACTCTATATCTAATAAATGTGTTTATATATACATTTGTTTACTTCTCCTCATTGTTTTCTCTTCATTGGTTCCTTTGCTCACTTTATCTATAAACTAAATGACGTGAAAATGCACCTATCAGTCTACTGCAAAATATATACAAAATATTTCTGTTCTGAATATATTTTGCTTACACTGATTGGCCTATTTTTGCAACCTGATTTTGTTCGTACAAATCATTTTGCTGAATATCTTTCATGGGCCAAATTCAGACAAGCCGAGCCATCAAATGAAGGAGTGACCGAGGTCCCAGACTAAATATAATTTTCAGAAAAACAGTTTAACTGAACCAAAATATTCCATCCTTCATGTAGCGGTACTTACCCTTTCCAGGGGCCGGCCGGGGTCCTCTGTTCGAGCCGCGCGCGGTCCTGCTGCTGCACGAGCCGCGCGCGGCTCAGCCGACCGCTGTAACTGGAAAGCGGTCACGTGTTCCACCTAACTCTAAGAGTGCGCCGCGGGTATCGGGCGCGCTCTTAAAAGGACAGTGGGTGCCTAAATTGGAAAAGGCATCCCATTGGTCCCTGTCATGCCACACTCCCCATACACTTACCTTTTGGGGGCGTGGATGTGACAGGGACCAATCAAATTAGATGTTTAGGTATTTATACTCACCTTCTTCCCTTTGTTCCTTGCCCTATCGTGGTTTCTGTATCAGTTCCCTTTAGCGCTTATTGTGTTCAGTTGTGTTTCTCCGTTTTGACCTTGGCTTTGTTTCTGACTACGTTTTCTCTTTATCCTTCTGTTCTGGTTGTCGGCTTGCTGTTTACTGTGTGTCTCTCTGTGCCCTTGATTTCGGATCGTTCCTGACTCTGTCTCCTCTCATATACGTCGAGTCCGGCCATTCTAAGGTCCGGTAGACGTATCTCTCCTCTGTGTTGTCTTTTGTTTTGCTGAATCCTGCGTGTTGGGGTATATTCTCGTTACACTTCACAAGTCTATTAGGCTGTATTTTCCCCATATTTTTAACTAGCCAACACAAAAAAAGCCAAAAATACAAACATATCAAAGACAAGTACCATCACAAGCGCGTTTTACAGTAGTGATCCACCATTTTTGATATATTTTATTTTTTATTTATTATTTATTTATTTATTTATTTTTTATTTATTTTTTTTATTTTATTCTTTATTGATATTTTATTTTTATTAATTTATTATATATTTTTTATTTTCTATTATATATATTTTTTTATTTTAATTTATTATAATTTTTTTTAAATATATATTTTCAGAATTTTGAATTTTAATTTAATTTAATTTAATTTAATTTTTTCATTCAAGACTTTTTCATTACATATCATCAACATATATTATATAATATTAATATTTTTATTTAGGGGGCAGAGCCTGACAGCACACGGGAGCAGTCGCCATACTCCCGAGCTCCAACAAAAACAAGCAAAACCTCACATATACCAAACACACTGAACCCCAACTAACCTCGAAAGGGCCAGAAAATAACAGGGGACGTCTCGCTGAACCCGTCGATGCTGTTCTTCCAACCCGAGGCAAGAAAAACCTGCAGCCGCGGCGCCAAGGCCTACCGCGCGGGAAACCTCCAACTCGAGGCGGACTGGGCCGCTGAACCCGTCGATGCCGTTCTTCCAACCCGCGGCAAGAAAAACCCGCGGCCCCTCGGCCTAACCGACCCGAACACACATAACGGAGGAGATTAAACGGAAGTCCCAGAAACAACCAACAAATACTCCCTAGACTCACCGGGACATTGGCCAGATGCTGCGGACGCCAGCGCCAAACACAGCCCAGAATCAACAGGAGGATGGAGGGGAATCTCACCACGAACAAGCCCCAGCAGAAACCAGGAAAACTAACCCACACAGGGCAGAAGACACAGCCCCAGCAACAAAGGGGGGCATACAGGACATGCTAACTAACCTTCAAAGAAACCTCCGACAAATGTGGGAAGCTGACCTGGCAGTACTGAAAACAGAGGTACAAACACTAACTGCTTGCACCAAAACGAATGAGGCAGACATACTTACCCTAAGACAGGGCCTAAAAGCACTAAACGACCAGATGCATCAGATACAAGCCCACCAAGCCAACCTCACTAACCAAGTCAGCATAATAGATGATATGGGCAGAAGGAAAAATATCAAACTCAGAGGAGTCTCAGAGACAGTACCCTTAGAGGAACTACCACACTTCATTAGAAGGCTGGTGTCCTCCCTCATCCCAATGCGACAGGCTAAACACTTTACCTTCAATGGGGTATACAGGATAACTAAATCCCCACAAGCCCCCACCGCAGCACCACGAGACATCATCCTCCGTTGCCACTCGCTAACGGACAAAATGGGCGGACAAAATTGAAACCAGCACCATATCAGTCTTTCAGGACTTGAGCAGATCTACACTGTTATGGCAAAATGGAATTCAGGCCGTCACAAAACTCCTCCAAACAGCAGGACTAACGTAAAGATGGTCAACCCCCAGAAAGCTGTTGATCACGAAGGACGGGAAAACATACAAGGCATCAGACCCTGCAGACAGCCCTGCCTTACTGACAGCACTGGGCCTCACTCCACAGGGACTACCCGCTCCAGAAACACCCAGTACTCACCCACAAGGCATTGAGGACACCCCTACTCTCACGGACAGAGAAGGAGGAGGCCCAGCAACTTGAACTCACAAAAAGTGCATGATGTTTATGTTCATGTTTTAACTATGTTTTAAGGTTCGATTATGCATAACCACACACACTCTTGATGTCAGGCCCAAGCCACGAGGCAGCAGCTCCACGATCCGACTACATAACTCCCCCCCCAGTGCCCCAGAGTCAAGGGGCACAGCCAACGATGGAGCACTACACCCCACACCGGGAGCCAGACAAACAGGGGACACATAGCCAAAGCACATAGCCACAATAGGCGGACCCCAAGGACTAAATAGGCACCCACGCTCTGACCTACAACCCATGTAGACGATGGCCTTTTAGCTAGGCAGAAAAACACCCTGAATTAATCCTACACATAGGGGGACGTGAAAAACTCTAATAAAGCGATGAGGGTATGCTAGACCACTACGATAGGACAATACAATACAAGTTAAATCGTCCCAGTTTTCCCTCTCCTGTCACGTTAATAGGCAACTCCGAGACGCGGAGATAAGGGACACCAGACATAATGGGGGAAACGATACACCTACCAGCATACGGGGTGACCAAACACGCAGAATAGAGACCCAGGGCCCCAAGTACCAATGACAGGTAGTGGGACAAATGGCCTAAAAGTTTCAAACCCAAAACAGCCACCACACCCCCATAATGGGTCATAATGATGATGAATCACCGTATCGCAATTTCTAGCCTAGCAATTATCAATACTTTCGTAGACAACTCGTTATAACCCACCAGGCCACTATACAAAAGAATGTGCATTTCATGTTATAGCCAAACCACTGTATGGACATGCTTGTTGCACCGACTTAACCCTATGCTGTTGTGGCGTAAACGGAAATGTCTGTATTACTGTTATTGCACTGAAAAAAAAGAATTTAAAAAATATATATATATATAAATATATATATTTTTTATTATTTACACTCATATTCATTTATACATTCATGCATGAGTGCATTTATTCACATATCCAGTCATTTTGTACTTATGTTCATCCATAGGGTTACTCATATATTTTTCTCTTTAAGTGCACTGCTGGATCTTTTTTCCACTGCAGACACACACACTATAATTCATATAGACACTTGTGTATATATTTTTCAACCCATATATGTACACACATGTCCAAAAATCGGAATTTATATATATGGATATGTATTACCGCATCCATGAAGCTATATATTGTTTTTTGATATGATATCAATTTTACATATTTCTGGGACGTATATCCCTAACACAGACTTGCAAATCCGTCTGTTTTTGGAGATAAGAGCATTCTCGGCTGACATGCCCAGCCTTAAAAATGATCAATGTATACACTTGTATTATACCATAATGAGAAATATATAGGAACTTGACGAAAGCCCTTTTTATTCCAATTGGTTAACATCATGTTGCAATCTGTATGAGTATTTTTATCCCACGATCTGTTTGAGCGTCCGAAAAAGCAGAAGTGACTTCACATGCGGAAGTGCCGAATGTGTTCCACAGTGGAATGCACGCCAACAACTACCGTGGATTACACTCGTTACCTGGCCGATATATAAGCAGTACCTGACCGGATTGAATTCATACATCCCTGAGGAAGTCCAGAAGAGGACGAAACACGTTGGATCTTTCTTTGTTCATATGAACTTTTTATTTATTTTATCCTGTTGTAGCTGTTGCTATTGGTGCTGTGATTTTGCCTGCTGAAACACGTGGATACCACCTTGGTGTGGAGACATGCTGTTTTTTCTTTGAAATCTTGTAAGTGCCATATATAATAAATTGTTATACTTTTTATAAAATCTGCACTATCTATTTTCTCCTTTGATTTGAGTGACCAAGAAGATTCCTCCTACACACCAAGAATTCCATTGCCAGAGGTCTTCTATCTTTTCATCATTACCCTGTTGATAAGGGAAATATGCCTGAATT